ACACTTTAAAATGCATATTTGGCTTTTGTTGCATACATAATTCATGATTTATTGCCGCATAAAATCATTGTCCCTGGATCGGACTATAAGAAAGTTAATTGTTTTGTTACACATAATAACAAATCAACGAATTGGGAATAAAATTTTTGTCACACTTTACTACGATACCTGTAATACGTGTGGAAGAACTCGCAAAAAAAAAACTAGTTCCTAAAATTAAATTTTACCAATTTTGGAAATACAATAAACCGGAACCAAACGATTGCTTGCCATCATTTTTTTTTTTAAATCAAATCGATTTATGCCTTTTTGAACTTCGTATACTTGATATTCGGTGTTCACCATTATATCCACTATGAAAGTTGAATTAGTAATGAAAACCATTTTGATAATTTCATTTTAAAAAAAAACGTTTAATTATTTTACCTAAATGATATTGAATTTTTTTTTTTTAAAAAAAAAAAACCACCACCCCTTAGGATAAACAGATGTGAGTCATCTCATTTTATTATTGGTAAAATTTATATATATATATAAATATCTAGAATTTTTTCCCCCCTTTCCTTTCTTTTTTTTTTTTTTTTTATATAACAGAAAATTTTACCAAAAAAAAAATATAGACATGAAAGAAATCTCAGAGATTTATATTTATCCCGTGAAATCGTGCAGAGGAATTAAAGTTAACTCATGGAAAGTAGATGAATATGGATTTAAATATGATAGGTTTTGGATGGTGGTTGATGATCAGAATAGTTTCTTAACTCAACGTGAATATCCAAATGTAAAAAATAATTTTAAATTAATTTTCATAGCCAAAAAGTCTTGAATTAATTTCATAAATTTGTACTTGTTAAGCTTGCACTCGTTATACCTACCATTCAAGAAAATGATGATGACGGTGGTGTTTTAGTATTAGAAAACCCCAAAAATGAACAAAATTTAAAATTACCACTTTTACCAAAGTATGTAAAGAAAAAAAAGATCATGACGATTGCTTTTTCTTTAAAAAAAAAAATTTATAACCTTTTGTTACAATCAATTTCAGTAAGGAAGGTTATTCCAAATGTAAAGTTAAAATACATGAAGATCATACATTGGCATTTGATTGTGGTGAAGAATCATCCAAATGGATGTCAGATTATTTAGGAGTTAAAGTTAAAATTGTATTTAAATCAACAGAAGAAGCAAGAGTAATTGGAACAAATCTTCCTCCAAAGGATGAACTTTTAAAACAACCCGAAGTAAGATTTAAAGTGACGGAAAACCATATCAACTTTTAAATTTATACTCATTCGTTTCTTAATTTTACTTAGACAGCATTTGCGGATGTTTTTCCATTTTTAATTCTATGTGAAGAATCCTTATCGGATCTTAATAAAAGATTAACAACTTCGGTTACTTGTCGTAATTTTAGACCAAATATAGTAGTAAAAGGGTGTGAAAAACCTTTTGAAGAAGACAAATGGAAAAAAATCATGATAGGAGATAATTTGTTTTTCGTGGTCACAAAGTGTCCTCGTTGTGTTAGTAAGTGTTATGGATTTATTACATAAAATAATAAGGGTTCTATAACGCGAAATAAATTAATTTGTAGTGACTACGATCAACCCTGATACCGGTAAAAAGGAAGGATTGGAACCTTTAAAAACTTTACAATCTTATCGTAGGGTTGATTCAGGCGTAAGATATAGGGGTTGCTTCGGTAAAATGATTTTATTCATTTATTTGACTTTTTACGTCATTATATGTAATTGACAAATTTATTTCGATTAAATATAGGAATGAATGCTATACATAAAAAATCAGGTAATTTGAATTATGCAAACTAATCATTATGTTCTAATCATTTCTAAGGTTTAACCGGAATCCTTTTGTCCATATTAAATCTAAAGGCATAATTCTTAATGTCGGTGATCAGGTTAAAATAATTGCAACAGGAGAACATATTCGTGAGGTTTAAAACTATAAAATTTTTGATTGATTCTAATGAAATAATAAAATAAATAAAATAAAAATAATACATATTATAATTCTCTATTTACGTTATTTCACTTAATTTAAATATCTATCATTATGAGATTTGGCAACTTTGCCTAATAATTCAACTTGATTCGCGATATCACGAAGGGCTCCTAATACAATCCCATTACCTTTAATAAAACCATATAGATGATATTCTAACCCTACTTCTTTACAAAATCCCTTTACCAAATTTTGACAATTTCGAAGATTATGTCTTGGAACTCTTGGAAATAAATGATGAATGGCTTGAAATTGCAAACCACCATGAAACCAATCCATCCACCAAGGACAATCAACATCCATAGTAGTACGTAACATCTTCCTTGGGAAAGATTCTAAAGGTCCAAAATCTTCAGTTGACATACCAAAATGTGATAAAGTAATTTGTACGTGTAAGAGCATCGTAACCATATGCGATATTAAGACGTAGAGAATAATTATTGATATTGATGGTAAAAATGATAACAAGTAAGTGTACCAACACCAAAAAATAATCATCCCACTTATTTCTAAATTACGAAAGGCCAAATTTTCCTCATTAATTAAAAAATTAATTGATAATGCGTAAAGGTTAAATCTGCCAAAGCACATGATTATATAATATAAATAATGTTGAAAGGGTATAAAGAATCTTGCCGCCGCATCAAAATGTAAAGTTTTTTTGTAAAAACTCGAATATACATTATTAAAGAATTTTGTTGAGATGGCTAAAAATGGTAAATGTTGAATATCAGGATCATGTTCAGGATCATTGGTTACGATATGGTGAACGTAATGATTTCTTTTCCACCATCCGAGGCTCAACCCTCCCATAAAATTTGCGATAATGACACCGATGATATTATCCACGAGTAGATTATGAGTTATTCCACTATGTCCTGCATCATGGGCCGAGAATGCAAGTTGATGCCAAAATAATCCGAGACAAATTGCGCTCGTTAAGAAATGCCAGGTTTGAGTTCCATAAAGTAACAACATACAGGCCGAAGTAATTAAGAAAAAATAACGAATGCTTTCATAAAAATAATTCCAATAATCACATTCATATAATCCTAGTTCATGAAGTTTTGAATAATATCTACGATAAGTTTGAGATATTAACTTTTGTTCCGCAAAAGATAATCTTTCTTCCTTGAAGTTGTCAATTTTTCCCCCATATTCCCCAATGTAAAAAGTATTGATTTTCTTCTTGTATACTTCTTCAGGATGAAAAACATTTATCTCGTCGGTAGCATCTTTACCAATCATATGACGAATTGCAAGTTCCCCCCCTGGGTGGTATTTTAACCACTTGTTCAATTTATACACTTTATTATTATATATTATAAGTATTTGACCACTCTGAACGCGTTTTTCAAAGTCTTCTTGACTAATGTAGTTATGTTGAAGTGCAAATGTTTTAGCATTTGGAGGTGCCATCGTTAATAGTATGAGAGTGGCTGTGTTCAGGGATTAGTATTGATATATATTATATATTTATGATACAGATGAATAAGTTATGTAAATTTAACCAAATGAAAGAAAAAATATGAATTTTTTCGCGTTAAAAATTATATTAAAAGATCGCAAAGGAATTTATTTTTGGTTAATCATGAACGTGAACCATAAGGTAAAGAAGGAAAAAAAAAAAAAAAAAAAAAAAAAGGAAGTGGATATTTATTTGTTTTATCAAACATCAGAGATTTACATCAAATTATTATTAATTGCTTTTTTAGCCTAAAAATAATCCAAATCGAGACAACCACGAGACAAAGATGGACACAAAGGGTTTAAATTTATTCTATAACGAAGTGTAATTTTGATTTCTTTTGTATTCAACGTACAACCTCTTTTTTTTTTGCTGCAAAAACCCCAGTCACTGAAAAAATAAGATTTGATAGATTTTCGAAAATTCGATTGTCGGGATAAGCGGTTTCAATCTTAATCGAACCATTACCAACGATCTTTAAAGCACAACTCCTTTATTAAGGAAGTCCGTGTTTCATTTACGTGTTCCATTCTAAACCTTAATTTCCTAATTATCCTGGAATATGAGTTTGATCAACTGTTAAGGTTTTGTAAAAACCTTTTTTTAAGAAACAATTTTCCATGTATCATCATTGTATTGACTCCTTGACAGTAAATATATTAAATATATTAAATACATTAAAAATAACAAAAAAATTTACGTAATTCCTCGCACGTGAAACTCATTAACTTATCGTGCAACCCGGGTACAATTAGGATCCACCAACTCGGCTGATTTAATCATGTGACATACTCGATCTTATAAAAATTAAATTTCGTCATTAAAAAAAAAATCCTTCTCTTTCCCATCTGCTTTACATTAAAGTGGTAAATCAAATTCATCCGTTATAATGAGGTATAATAAATTCGTCTTGAGGTTTTCTTTTTATCTACGCTAAACAATTCCTTCTTGATTAGCAGTAGTAAAATTCAAGTGCCAGCCGTGAGAGAGTCAATAAGGATCGTTTTAAAAGAATCTCAGGAAAAAGACCGGAAATTTACTGAGACGATAGAATTACAAATTGGTTTAAAAAATTATGATCCTCAAAGAGACAAACGTTTTAGTGGAACTGTCAAGTAAGTGACATCTTACTATGAGGTTAAAAATTTATCAAAAAATATATATTTATATATATTTAAAATTTAAAAATTTCTAATTAAAATTTTTTTTGATCTAAGGCTTCCTAATGTCCCTCGACCAAAGATGTCTGTAGCTATCCTCGGGGATGCTCATGACTGTGATAGAGCTAAAGAGATTGGACTTGAATCCATGAGCGTCGAGGATCTTAAGAAACTTAATAAAAATAAAAAACTTATCAAGAAACTTGCCAAAAAGTATGACGCATTCTTGGCCAGCGAATCTTTAATTAAACAAATTCCTAGATTATTAGGTCCCGGTTTGCACAAAGGTGGGTTTTTAACCATGATTATGTTGTGATTTATTTTTTGAAATTTTCCTGACCAAGGTTTATTATTATTATTATTATTAAACTTTGTAAATTAGCCGGTAAATTCCCTACTCCTGTTACCCACAATGATGATCTGAATGCTAAAGCGGATGAATTAAGATCCACCATCAAGTTTCAACTTAAAAAAGTTTTATGTCTTGGTGTCGCGGTTGGGCATATTAAAATGAATGAAGATGAGTTGGTTGCTAACATAATGTTGAGCATCAACTTTTTGGTTTCCTTGTTAAAGAAAAACTGGCAGAACGTTAAAAGTTTATATATCAAATCCACCATGGGCAAGCCTCAACGTTTATATTAATTGAAAAGATTTAATTTCATTTGTTCTTTTTTTATTAAATAAAATATTAAAAAATATTTTTTTTTATACTGTCCATTTCAAATATTTAAAATAGAAAAAAAAAAATAAGAAAAGTTCTATAAATTCTATAAAAAGACCAAAGCAAATGTAGGCTTTCTAATTGGCAAAAGATTTAGTGCATGACTTTTTTTTTCAAACGTGACACGCGCCACAATTATCGTAAGGATGATGCATTACAAATATGTATAAATATCCCATCTTTTTTTTCATCGTTCATCTCTTTTCTTTTTTTCCTCTATACATGAACCAATCATATAGTTTGCTTAAAATTTTTCGTCGTTGATGGATACTACAGCTTTAAGTATTTTAGTCGGTGTAGTTGTTGTTGTATTGGGAGCTTTAGTTACCTATTTATCACGCAAAGCGACTTCTTTACGTGATCCCGTTAAGGTATGGCATGCCTTAAATAAACCTGTTATAAGAAGGTTTAGACCTTGGATATACTCTTATCTACTTTCTTTCGCTAATCCTTTTGTTTCTTGTATTCGTAAGTGTAACTTTGATTTGCGGTTTCGTTTTTACGTGACCTGATTTTAATAAATTGACGTACCAACAGATTTGCGCATTACAACCCTCAACAAGGGATCTTGTTCCGGAGTTTTAAAGGTATTTGTTAGCCCTTGCCTTTTCGGTTCATATTTTTTAAATTCGTCTTAAAAATAAATATGTTAATCGTTAGTCCTTTTAGGAACAAAGGAGAGTTCACAACCCCTTTAACAGTATTCATGCTGCGGCGCTTTGTACGTTTGCTGAAACCGTTGGAGGCTTGGCGGTATTTAGTCAATTAACCAAAAAAGATAGAGCAATCGTGACAAAGATTAATATGGAGGTAAGCAAAAGAAAGATGTAAATGATCTTCTCTCTTCATTTCATCTTTTTAAAAAATAGTTTTATTAGTATCTCAAAAAAGCGAGAGGTAAGTAATTATATAAACCATATTTAAATAATATATTTATATATATGTTTCTTTTCTATAAATCTATTTTAACGAAATTAAAATTGCAAATATAGGGTTAATTACAGCCATCTGTCAATTTAACCTTGAAGAAGTTAGCGAACAACCCGAAAGAGAATGTGAGGTAACTCTTAGGGATGAAGCATTAGATATTGTGGCAAAGACAACAATATTTTGGCAAATTAGTAGAAAGAACTAAAATGTGTCAAATCAAGGCTTCTTCAGGGTTCAATTACTAAATTTGGTTACAAATTTCAATTATGAGAAATTTTACAAAGAAACAGACAAATTTGGTTTAATTAAAATGGTATGCATAATCAGGTTTGGAAAAATTGATAGATTATTAAGGGTTGAGATTTTTTTTAAGGGGGGTTTTGCCGATCGAAAGGATTCAACGATAAAGTACAAATTACCAAAAGACGATAAAAAAAAAAGTAAAATATTATATACATTTTATTTGCAAAATGCACATTTTATTTTAAAAGTATGTAAAAAGCGGACTTATATAAAGAAGAAAAAATACACTAATATTAACAAAAGCAGAAAAAAAAAAGAAAAAAGGAAATGGAAAAAGAAAATGACTCTATAAACAATCACATTTATAAGTGAAGAAAAAATTTACAAAGCGAAAAAAAAAGAGAGGTATAATCTATTTTCACGGAAGAGTTTTTGGGGGAAAAAAATAAAATAAAATAAAATAAAATAAAATTATTTTACACGAAAAGTGAAAAATATTACAAACAATGAAAAAGCGCCAAAAGAAAATTCTTTTTCTTACATAAAAAAAAAAAACCAAAAAAAAGGTGAAAATAGATTGTTTAATTCTTCTAAAAGAGATCATCGAAAAATTCAAAAGAGAAGCCCGATTTCACGATGTAATAAGCAAGAGAAGCGAGTATCACAGCAATTACAAAATTGGTTACCCAAGATGATGATGATAATGATGATGATGAAACGGTTGATTCAATACTTTTAATATTATTATTATTATTAATGTTAGAATGAGAACCTTCATTTAATGAAGAAAAATCATGAGGTGGTATTTCCGAGTCATAATACGGAGGAGATGTTTGATAAGGAAGAGGAGGAGAAAGTGGAAGAGGAGGAAAAGGATGACCAGCTTCGAATTCATCGGGTCTACCAACAACATCCTCTTGTCTTCTACGTTCAAATCTATCAGTAGTTTCAAGAAAATTTCTCGTTGAAGCAATAGAAGGAAAAAATTCGGGTTCAGGTTCAGGAGGTAAAGAAGAATCCCTTTCTTGTTGACGTATTGTGGAAGTCGATGATCCATAATCAAGTTCAGAAAGAGCACCAAAATTTGGTGGCAAACTTGGAAGTCGATCTTCGTTAATGTCTTGAGAACCTAATACGCTCCATGTATCAGTGGCGTAAGAAGGAGCGAAGCGATGATCATCATCATCATATAAATCATTATTAACAACACTCCAAGAGCTTGCAAAACGGGTGCTTCGTCCGTAATAATCTTTATTATTTAAATGGCAAGAGTAAAAATTTTTTTTTTTTTTTTTTTTTTTTTTTGATAGGATATGATAGGATTAAAAATAGAGGGGGGAAAAGGTAGTTAGAAGAAACAATCATCTTTCGATCAATTATTTAAATTAAAATAATAATAATAATAATAATAAATGATAAATGATTATTAATTAATTACCTTGAGACATCCTTTTTCTTCGTTTGATTTTAATTAAATCAGTTTATGTTTATATTCCGCTTTTTTTACTCCTTTTTTTTTATTTAGAGTGGAGAAAAGTTAGGAGAAAATTTGAAAAGGAAAAAAGAAAACACGTTGAGTAAAAAAAAAATGACAGAAAGGATATTTTTATACTTGATCAGAAAAGCTTGTAGCTATTCGGTTTTTGAGTTTCAGCTTGTACAACAAACATTTAAAGATAGCAAGGTCACAAGGTCAATAACTGTTTTCAAAGTATTCCGCAGCAGAACAATCAACTCATGACTGAATATGGTATAAAGTACATTACATAAATAAAAATGTACTTGATCGTTTTTTTTTAATTAATCAAGCACGAAACGTTTTTATTTTTATTTTATTTGTATTAACGAAATTATTTACTTATAAAGTAAAAAAAACCGGAGTTTTTATTTTTTTTCCTTTTTACCTTGACAAAAATACAAATATAATAAAAAATATAATTGTTTCTCAATTTGGATAAAAAAGCTGATCAATGACGTTGAATTGAATGCAATTGAATGCGAATCTACCCCTCGATAAAATCTCAACCTTCATACATTTTTGTAGTTCATGTTATTGTAAAATGATACCGAATATCGTGTGTAATTTTTTAAACCTGATAATTAAAATCTTTAAATCCATCTAGATAAAAGAACGATTGCGATCCCCGCAGCAAATTCCCGCAGAAAAATCGAAATTAAAAATTCAAATGATAACCCGAATTTAGTAATTCTTCAATGAATCGTTACTTTTCCGGCACGCGTACTCCGAAACACTCTTATTCGCAGCGTTCGTAAAAATATATGTGTAACGTAAATAAAATAAAGTAAAATCATAAATCCCCCTCAGTAAATTCTCGAAAAGTGTAAATTAAAAAGTTCAACTCATAGCTAAAGTTCGGAGATCAGGCTTCCGGTGATTTATAAAATTAAAAAGGTTAATTCAAAGACGCTTAGATTCACCCCTCGTCATTTTTATTTAAAAGTTTCCTTTTTAAGAAATCCTGATGAGGACGTTATCGTTCGCGAATTTTACCAGCATATTTGTATTTCTAAATCACCTTCCCAACACCAACTTCAACAAGAAGCAAATGATTGATTTCTTTTTTCTCGATGCATCATCATTGCTAAAATATATTTTTCTATTGTACAGCAAAAAAACAGGATTCTGAAAAGACTGTTTTCAACCATTGAAATTATACTATTCGTATGTTAACGAAGCGCATTTGATTTGGAACAAAATTTTTTAGTCCAATAAATCGTCTGTTAATCCCATTAGAAAAAGCCAGACGTTGTATGATTAGATGCCGAATTCTATTTTGTCTATTTTGTTGCTATTTTTAAATTATAAAATCAAATCGTTAATGAATTTCCTTTTATGAAAAAAAAATTTTATCACATTGAGTTTTGGTTATTTGATTTGCCTTCGTTGTTGCTTACCTAATGCTCCGTAACACATACTTGCATTTGTGGAAAGAGTTTGCAGAGTCATACGTTATTTGTAATTTAAAGTATATGTAACGACTGTGGCAATTACAATTGTATGGTTCATTTAGTTCATTAATCTCAATCAATTTTTCGCGGTTATGCGGGTGTAATAGTTAAAAGGCCCATATTGTTGTAGATAGAACAACATATTTCTCGACACCATATAGTTTGCAGTAATCCATAAAAAAAAAAAAAAAAAAAAAGTTCATGATAAAAATGATCAAGAATTACGTGTAAGAATGAAATTTTTTTTTTTTGTTTCAACATCGACCGATTTGTATGTTGATTTGTGTAACGAAATCAGTATATTATTTCAAAAATTTTCACAATTTGAAATTTTGCATTTCATTATTTTTTTTTAATTAATTTTCTTTTTCATAACAAAAAAATTTTATGGCAGACTCGGAAGGAGCAACAAATAGTGAGTTTCTTTGAATTAAATTAAAAATTTTTTTTTTAAAAAAAAAAAAAACAAACAAAATTGAGAAAGTGGTTTACCAATTTTTGTATTAACGGAGTTATAAATAAATTCCGATACTGACATTATTTTTCTCTTTCTTGTATGCTAGATGAACTTCTCTTGGTTGCAGCCAAACAGGACTCGGAAGATATTTTAGAAGATATTTTTTCTCAACCGAACACTTATGATATAAATTATTCCGATGCTGTCGGAAATACCGCACTTCATTACGCGTATTATATCCATTATATTTTAATTTAAGCTATTTATTCAAATAAAAAAGAAATAAACGCGTTCGTTTACTTTTTTTTTTCTTTCATTCAGAAAACATGATTTGATTGATTGATTGATTAATTGAATTTCTTTTTTTTATTATTATTGCAGGGCTCAATTTGGATCTTTTACTGCCATTGAATTGCTCTTGGAACAACCAAATATCCAAGTTAATTTACCAAATAAATTGGAATATGATACACCACTTCATAAAGCTGTACAATATAAAGATGATCCTTCTGTGGTTTTAGAAATAGGTATTATATCTCACTTCTTCATCCTTTTAATAATAATGATGATAATAAAATTTGACTCTTTATATTGCTTTATCAAATATTTTTGTAGTAAAATTATTGATCAAACATGGAGCGGACCCAACGTATGTTTAGTATTTGGGAGCTTGTCAATAGAAAGGGGGAAATCTAAAAAAAAAGTTATGAGTTAAAGTTAAATCTGGACTTATTTTACTAAAAAATCATGTTTAGCATATGAAGTAAAATTTTAATTTTTTTTAGATTTCCTCCTTTTCTATTGACAAGCTCCCATTTGTACATTTGCTTTTTTTTTAAAAAAAAAAAAAAAATAATAATAAACTATAATATAAAATTTATTTTTTTTTACTGATTTTAGCAAACTAAATAAGAATAGACAAAAACCTCAACAATTAGTTGATCCAAAAAACACAGAACTAAAAAACTTACTTCAAAAAGCGGCTTTAGCTTTACAAGTGGTGGGTACTCGATTTTTTTTTTAAAAAAGAAATTTTTTTAAATATATCGTATCGTATTTATAAAAAAATTATATTGATTTTAGGATTCACGTGATATTGCCCAAGATGATTCTGATGATAATGATCCACCAAGTGATATTAGTGAGGATTAATATAGTGATAATGAAATATATTAGAATTTATATGGGCAAAATTTATTTATATTGTAATTAATTATTTATTATTTTACTTTGTAAGATTAATATATAAGAAAAATGTGAAAATTTTGATTGTATATAAAAATATATTATATATACATAATAACTCATTTTTATAAATTATTAAAATCAATCTTATATATACTATTGTTTCAAAATATTGGATTAAACATTAATAAAATTATCACATTATTTCCCACAAATTTTACATAATATGAAAGTCCATTTAAATTCTTTTTTAAAAAAAAAAAAAAAAAGCTTAATACCTTCCAAAATTATTCTTATTAGGCCACCCAGAATTTGCATTTGCAATATTTCCCATTAATTCATTATCAGTAGCAGAAAATAAATTATTATTATTATTATTATTATTATTATTCAATTGATTTTGATTTTGATTAGTATTATTCATAAATGTATTATTAAAAGAATTTTGTCGTTGTGATGGTGGTGATTGTAATCCAAAACCTGTTGATGATCTTTGCTGTTGCATTACAAAATTAGAGGTTGTAACTTGTTGCTGCAATTGTCCAAATTCGCCTCCATAACCCGGTGTGAATGTGGACACGTTTCCAAAATTTGGTAAAGAATTTTGTCGATTTGGCATCATATTAGGTGTAATCATTGAATTTTGTTGTTGCATTATTCTACCAAACTGAAAAAGAAGGTTATACTTTTAATAGAAAATCAATTTAAAAAAGGAAAACCTAGAAAAACAACTTTACATACTGAATTACCATTAGATATTAATACATTATTGGGTGTAATAGAAGTAAAGTTTCCCCTATTTCCAAAAGCGTTTAAATTATCATTCGACCCATTAGGTGATACCATTGAATCATTTGTGTTAAAATCTTTTCCAAATAAATCAGGATTTCCCATTCCATCCATTCTATTCATGCCGTTTGAACCAGATGTAGGAGTTCCCATATTTCCAAAAGTATTATTTGATAATATTGTTTTATTAGAGTTAAAACCGTTTCCTCTCATATCTGCTAAATTTTGTTGAGAATGCTGATTAACTTGATTAAATTGAATTTGTTGTTGCCCAAATCCGGAACTGGCCGGTCTTAATTGCATTCCATTATTCGTAGAACCAAATATATTAGATGATGATTTTTGAGGCGTACTATATAACGATAAAATCGCGTTCTTATCAAATTTATTTTGTTGCTTTTGAAACTGTTGTTGTTGTTGTTGTTGCAAATTACCTTTGAATCATAAAAACAAATTACTAATTAACTTCGAACTAAAATAAAGAGGGAGGAAAAGCATTGAGTATAACAAACCGGTTCCTTGAGGTCCAAACGAACTCCAAAGTTCCGAAGGGTTTTGAGATGAATTTAGAGCGGTTATTTTTGATTGTTGAAATGACATTTGTTGCGAGGATGGTGAGTCTAAAAGAGACTGGCTGGATGATTGTGAAACTGGTAATTTAATTTGCATTCGTTGTTGCTCTGTTTGGGAAGTGGCTACAGGAATGTGATTTGCACTATTGACATTACTAGAATTATTATTCACTGGATTACGAGATTCTAATAATAGTGCAGCAGCTACTTCAACATTACCGCCAGTACGTCGAAGAGCATCACGATTCTTCGCATCATCTTGAAACCCCATATTCCATATTTGAGTTAGCTTATCATTACTCGAAATCCCTAAAATATTTGTAGTAGTAGTAGTAGTAGTAGTAACTGTAGGGATAGGAGTAGTAGGTGGTGGTGACGCTGATCTGTTCGGAAGTCTACAGAGAATTTCAGTAGCTGCACCAATATCCCCGTTAGTAGTATCTAAAACTTCGCGATTTCGAGTATTATCATTGAATCCCATATCTTTAAGTTGTCGCAACGCGAGATCATGATTCCGAATATATTTCGAGATGGAATTATTCGTTGCACGACGTGGAGGTGTTGATGGAGGAGCAACCGACGAAAGATGTGTTGATTGCTAGGGATCGATTAATTAAATAAAATAAAAATTAAAGAAATCGAAATAAACCTTCATTGATATACAAAAAAAAATATATATAAATATATTACATACTTTATCGGGATTTTCAAGATAAATTTGTTTTTCGTATTTGTTTCGTATATACCTTTCCATTTCACTAAAAAAAAAAAAAAATTATTTTACGATATTAGAGAAAAAAGGATCCACGTGTATGAAGTGAAAGTTTACCTATCAGAAGCATTAACTGGCACCGGATGAAATTCTGGACGAGGATTCCATTTGGCATTAGCTTTCAAATTTCCCCACTGTCGCATATTCTATGAAGTAAATGCATGAGACGCTCACATTAGCTAAGGAATATATAATAAAGTTCCGATCAATTAAATTCCAATTACCTCGATTTGTTCTGGTGTCCAAGAATCTAAAGATATTGATTTGACTTTGGAAATATGGGTTCCCATTTTACGATGTAAACCAGCACAGCGTATGCAAAGAAATAAGCCAAGATCATGAGAAGCCCATCGAGGTCCTACATGTTGAACAGTAATGTTTGATTATCATCATGATTATGATTATTATTGAATAGATCTGAAGTTATCGTATCATACTGAAACGAAAAAAAAAAGACATATAAAGCGTGAAAAAAATTTTTATTAGCTTAAATGTGATAAACTGACCCTTTACACCACAATCTGCGCAAGTATCGTTTCCAGGTTGTTTCGTCATTTTGAGCAAGACACGCTCATGTTTTTCGTTCACTACTTTTTTAGCTCGATCCATTTAAAATATTGATGTATTTTAAAAGATTGGTAAAAGATTTAAAATCGAAAATGAGTATAACGAGTGAAAAGATTTAAATATTTAAAAGCCCAACTAGGGCCCATAGGGGCCTCATACAAGGCGCAGGCAGCTGCACATGAAATCATTGATTTTTTGATTTTGATTTACGTTTCACAAATTCCATTAAATCGGTTCACATATATCGGACGCGAGATCACACATATGTATAAAAATATAAAAAATTTAAAAGAGCTAAATTAAAACACTAAATCGTCTAATATTTAGGGAGATAGGTACGGGTGAATAAGAAAATTTTTTTCAGATTAAAAAGTTTATATTTAAAAAATGAAAAAAGTTAAATGTTATTATAATGCAAAATTTTAAAGCCCCATATGTCATGTAAATATTTCAAATTTAAATTGAAAGTTTTTTATTAATGAATTTTACAAACAACATAACATGAAATATATTTATGTAATTTTATTAAATACTGTAAAATTGTAATAAAATACTTTAATAATAAGATAATATCAATCAGATTTATTTTTTACATTTAATCTTAATCGGGCAAGTGCACAGGAGTGAGTTTTTAGCAACGCCGTTAAAAAATAATGTTTTATATATTTACTTTGATCATGCAATAAATAATACCTCATATATATAAACGCTTAATAATTTATTATGTTATGTGGTGCATTTCTATTGATAAAGTCCCATCGATGAGAATTTTTTCGACGTCATGTGGAATACCAAAAGGATAAATATCTTCAGCTTTAGGTAAAAATACAGCATCAACACAATCAATGAACGAAGTAATTCTAGATCATTTGAAAGTGTGAGATCTAAATCTTCATAGTGCAACTTGTTTCACCTTTATATATAATAACTATAAAAAAAGGATTACGTATGAGCAAGGATTCAAGATAAAGAATCTACCGTATCACCTTTTACCTAACTTTAAATGACCTGCATGTAATGAGAACGAATGCAATTTGTTATCTTGTTGTTTTCTCTTTTTTTTTATTCCTATTTGTCATCCTTGTATTTAGCATACAGAAAAAAAATGCTAACCTTTCGTAATTTATACTAATCGAGAAATAAATAACTTAAAATATCAATCATTTTATAGCATTTTCATAATAACATTTAAGCACTTACCGACACAAATAGTAGAATACGTGATTGGTTACTTTCGTTCACTTGTTAAAAATATAAAATCATGGACCTAGATTTTATCTGTAAATAATTAATTAAAGAAATTAAAAAAAATGGCGAAGTTTCAATTTCAAAGCAATAAAATCTGTTTCTCCTATTAATTTTCTCAGATTAATTATAAAAATCATGAATCAAGATTCTTAATTTTATATTAGTTTTTTTTTTAATTATTTTGATCTACCTAATGATTAATCCTTCCGACACAACTTCATTACGCTCCAGAAAGATGCGAATTTTTGTCCGTCTGGAGTATTTTTTGGGTACAAACTGTGAAACACATATGGTTGACCTTATGTCAATTACAAAAGAAGAGTCTTTTAACGAATTTACGCATTATGAAGGGGTTGTGAAACCTTTTTGGTGTTTGTTAACCGATGGTGGTCCAAACGAAAATCCACGATTCCTTGCGAATATCTCAAAATATTTATTGCTTTTCAAAAAACTTGACCTGGATTATCTTACTATTTGAACACATGCACCGGGATAGTCTGCTTATAATCCCAGTGAAGCAAAGCATGGCATCACTTTCTGGTAAATTGGCAGGTATCGAATTAAATGCATTCACATATGGGAACCATCTCAGAAGTATTGGTGGAAAAGTTGCTGTTGTGAATGAAGATCTTGGACGTCGTAACTTTAAACATGCGGGAGAGCGTCTATGTGAACTTTGGGAGCGTGACAATATCAATGGTTATCCAGTTGTTACCACATATATTGAGGAGCATGATTGATTGGATTTTTTAAATATAAACGAAGAATCATGGGATTGGATTGATAGGCATAGCCAAATTTGCAAGTATTCTCTTGATCAAAAAAAGTGTGAAGATCGAAATTGTTGCAGGCAACCACGCGCGCCCGAAATTCATAATCTTTTGTCCAGAAATAATGGTTTTTTATCACCCGTCATACAAGGCCTTGATGGTCATTTTTTAAATATAATTCATACTTTGGAATATTTCGAAAAGAAGTTACCAGGCTATGATGAACATTGTCCTAGCGTAATTCCGGATTTATATCACAATCTTGTATATCAAAAATGCTTTAAATATTTTCCATCAAAAGTGTTTTTGCAACATCATATTAAAACAACTCATCCGAAAAAAAAAAGTGTAATAAAAGATTAATTTTCCAAGAACGAGGTTTGTTGGCAAGTTTTTTTTTATTCCAAAAATATGTTTGTATGCAGAATTAAAAAAATCATAAAATAATAAAACAACAGTTTCATGACTATTGAAAGATACATATAAAGGTCTCATAATGGAATAAAAGAATTAACACATTTTGGAATTTCTGTTTAATTATTCTTTTTTGATTGCAATTGTTGCATAGTTATTGCTTTTCTAGGATATATTTGACCTGGCCAATCAGCTATTAAAGGAATAACATTATGTTGAAGATACTGCTGAAATTCTGGAAAAGATGCAAATTTTTCCATTGCCTTAATATATGCTTCTATTGAATGTAAATCAAGCTTAATAAAATCTATTAGTATTGTATTACTAAGTTGTCGATCTTTCCGTTTTTCATGAATATCTGCATCATAACAATGAATAGTTAAATTGTTAAGTAAATCTTCTTCAGAATGAAGAAATTGTTCTATAAATCGATCATTGAATGATTG